GTCCCGGGTGACCCCCCCCCCCCCCCCCCTTCGTCCTCGGGCTACTGTGATGAGCACATAATGGCGAGGCGCCCCGGGCCGGTAGCACGGGCCGAGGCGAGCAGGCGTGGCGAGGCGTGATGGGCGTGGCGAAGTGTTGCGAGCGAGCGACGCGAGGCGGCGTGGGGAGGGGAGGTGTGGCGAGGAGGAAGCGGGGCGAGGAAGCGGCACGAGGAGGCGAGGCGAGGCGGCGTGGGGAGGGGAGGTGTGGCGAGGGGGGTGGCGTGTGGCGAGGCGGCGGCGGCGCGGCGCGGCCTCTGCGTATCCGAGCGCCGACGCCTCCTTGAGCGCGTCCGAGTAGGAGAGGCCTCCCTGCGCCATGTTGGAGAGGATGAAGTTGGTGCAGCCGTTGATGATGCCTACGAAAAGGCCCCGAGGCGGCTGCCCAGAGGGCTGCCCAGAGACGGACGGAAGTGTGCGGCCGTTGACGACGCCAGACAGCTGCGACACCTCGTCGCCCAAAAAGTCTCGCTGCAGCGCGTGGATGATTGGGATGCCTACGGCGCACGCCGACCGACCGCTGGACGCATGCTGCGCAGACGGCGCCAGCGCACCTGCAAGACCCGCGCACCGCCGCACACCGCCGCCTCAAACCCGAACTTGCCCTCGGAGCCGAGCACCTGCTTTGCGTTGGCCTCGGCGAGCTTCTCCTGAAGCTCGGGCAGCGCCGCCGCGATGAGCGCCTTGTTGGCCGTCACCACGTGCTTGCCGTCCGCGATCGAGCGCATCACCACCTCCTTGGCCAGCGTCGTGCCTCCCATCACCTCGCACACGAGATCGATGCTGCCGTCGCCGAGGATCTCCTCCACGTCGTCGACGACAGCGCAGCCGGCAGGGAGCGGGAAGTCGCGTGGCTTCGCCTTGTCGCGCACGCAGATCGTCGCGATCTCCACGTCCACCCCAAGCGACGCCTGCAGCTCGCGCGCGCCCTCGAGGATGGTGACGATGCCGCCGCCGACAGTGCCGCCACCGACGAGGCCGACACGGAGCTTCCTAGGCGACTCGGCCATGCACGGGCTGCTGGCGCAGCGCGCGCCGCCTGTCCGCGTAGGAGGGCCGCCCACCAGCAGGGAGTGCGAGAGGCCAGCAACCAGTGCGATCATCGAGCATCGAGCTCACGTGGTGGCTGCTGCGTCGCGCTCGTCGGAGCTCGGTCGCGGCAGTTTCTTTTGAGAGAGGCGTGTTTTAAGAATTCGTTGGAGCTTCGCCTTCGATGTTATGAAACAAACGCAAGGCGGACATGGCATATCGCTCTCGGGCCCACAGACATCCCGCACACCCGCCGCACACCCGCCGCCCCCGCGCGCGCCCCACCTTGGCCGGGAGAAAGGGGAGTGACAGTTTGGGATTGCAAGCCCGAGTATGTTGAGTCCTGGCTCAACAACGCAGGGAACAAGAGGAGGTGGTCCGGCTCACAGGTCCGGCTCACGCGCCCCGAGCTCGCCATCTACCGCACTGAACACTTCCGCCCCCTCGCTCCCAACCCACTCACCTTCCCGACCGCAGAATTCTTTTTGAAAGAGGCGTATTTTAAGAATTCTTTTTGAGAGCGCCTTCGTTGTTAATAGTACAAACCCAATGGTCCCTTGCGAGCGGTCCTTCGTTGCAGTCGCACACACGCACACGCCACACCGCACCGCGCGCCCGCCCACTGCCCCGCCCAGGCGGGAAAGAGATGTCAGATGAGGAGATGGGACAGCAAAGGAGGAGCACAAACACGTATGGGAGGGTTCAGTTGTGCGCCACGCTGCCGGACGACACTGCTTCGGCAGCGTGCACCTCGATCCTGTACCGTGTTTGTTATGACCCAATGAACACACCAGTGAGGGAGGGCGAGACGATCGAGGGGTCCCGTACCATGCGGAATCGACCCTATCCAGTGCTCAAGTGCTCAAGGTGAAGAACAGTTAGGCTCGGACTGGACACCAACGCGGTATGGGTGGACGCGGGACAGATGATGACGGCACGCACGAGCGACACACAGACACAAACAAGCTCACAAGACACACAGCCAGCTGGCTGCCACAGAGCCACACACCCTGAGTTGGCGTACACATAACTCAGGGCCACGTCCTCCCTGTCGCCCCCCCCGATGCAGCGCTTGTCTGTCGTTCTCCACGCCGCCGTGGCGTGGCAGACGGTGAACGAGCTAGCGTGCGGGGAGAGCGGCATTGTGCACGGCGCTATCCGGTGGTTTGCCTGTTGATAGTTGCTAGCACGCGCCAGTCCGCACCTGCGTCGAGCCTGTCTGCTGTGAGAGAGAGTTGTTTTCTTAAATTCTTTTCCGGGTTCTTGCTGGCCGAGCACTGGATAGGGTCGATTCCGCATGGTACTGGACCCCTCGATCCGTCTCGCCACCTGTGTGTTCTTGTGTAACCTAACCTAACCTTTGTGTATCTCGAGAGACCTCGAGAGAAGGCCGCCCGCCGAGGGACAAGTCTCCAGAATTGGCTTCTTGGCGGGCCGCAACCGCCAGTCCGGTTGGTTGAACTGGCAGGAGGCAGCACCACCCACGCCACTTGGCCTGCAGAGTTTCCGGCAACCCCCAAGTGAAGGAAACCAGCAGTGGGTCCCTAGACTTTGCGTTTCCACCTCTCCTCTCTATCCTATCTACACCACCGATGCAGCGTCGACTAGCCATCCCCGCGCCCAGCCTCACCAGCCGACCCGCCGCCGGCAGCCTCCGCGACCAGTTTGACCAACGCCGAGATGCCGATGGCCAACAGCAGCAGCCCGATCGCACCCTTCAGCCGGCCGGGAGGCGCGCGCTGCGCCACCCGTACGCCCAGCGGGACGCCGCTCGCCACCGCCGCCCCGATGGCGGCCGCGAGGCCGAGGTCGACGCTACCACCGACGGCCGACACCGCCACCGAGCACAGCGAGATGGGGATGCAGAGCGACTGCGCCAGCGCGACGACGAGGGCGGGGGGCAGGCGCGGGTCGAGACGGAAGAGGAGCGGGATCGCGACAAACGGTCCGCCGGTGCAAGTCAGGATGGACAGGAGCCTAGATATGCACACGGCCGAGTGTGGGGTCCAGATCCGTCTATCGCCGTGCATCGCACTCCCGAGCCTCGCGGGCATCACAGCTGTGGATACAGTTGGCACGGCTGGCATACAGCGGAACATGCATCTCGCGTCTATTGAGCGCGCCCCACCACGAGGCCGAGGGCCACGGCGACCCGCTTCGACAGCACGAACGCGCCGGCAGCCGCCGAGGGATGCGCGGCGGCGGCGCCGCCGCCCTTGCGGGCTCCGTCGGCTGCGGCGGTGGCGAGCTCGGTGTCGCACCGGCTGGGCTGATCGTCTCGGCTGCTGCCGCTGTCGTCAGTCCGTCCGCCGCGGCCGGCCCTGAAGACGGTGCAGATTGCATGCACGCCGCTGAGGACCGCAAGCAGCACGACGAAGCTGGAGATGAGGGCGGCAGGCACCAGCGGGAAGAGCAAGCTGCCGGCTACCGCGCCCGGTACCGCGGAGAGCCCAGCCGTCGCCGTCTCGATCCGCGGCACTATCCTGCGGTTAGCGATGAGCGCAACGACTCCGGCCGGAAGAAGCGAGGCGATGACGGCCGGGCTCGCAACGCCGATCGGGACTCCCATGAGGAGGAGGAGCGGCACGAGCAGCACGCCTCCGATGCCAGTGGCACCGATGCAGACGCCAGAGCCGAAGGCGGAGACAAGGTACAGCGCAAGCGGCTGCGCCGCGGGCGCATCGCGCAGCCAGGATACCGCCATTGAGGATTAGCGGCGCGATTGTTTCATTGTTGGCTGGCGTGCCTGCCACCTTCCTCAGGCTGTTCCATCTCTTTCCCACCTAGGCGGGGCGATGGGCGTTGCGCGTGCGCGGGGTGCGGGGTGCGTGTGCTGTGGCGTCATGTGTGTGTCCACCTTCGTCTTGTTTGTTTCCTTTTAACATCGAAGGCTAGCTCAAAAAAATCCAGTGTGTCAGAGACCCGGTCGCGCCTCCCCGCCCTGCGTCGCCCGCCGCCGCGCCGCGCCGCCGCCTCGCGTCGCCATGTACAGTGCCCAGCAGCAGCACCACGCCGCACCTATTTGGTATTTCGGAGTGAGGGTCGTGCCCCCAAGTGACCCAACTCGCACGCTCTGGCCTGTGGTCTGATCTCAGAGCGTTATGTTGAGAGTAGGCTCGAGTCGCCCCCTGTGAGGCCCGTGTGCGCGCCAGCGTAGAGTATCTAGTGAGTAGTGTGCCAGCGTGTGTGCGTGTGTGCTTGTCCGCGAATGGGAGGGCACTTGTGACGAGGTGCTTGGTAGGCGAGTGGTAGCTCTGGCAGTCGCTGGTGCCGCGGACTTGCTGAGTCGTGTGTGCTCCTTTTTGCTTGCTAATACTGGAACACTCTTTTATGGCGCGCAGACTCTCCCGTTTCTCCACAGTAGCAGCTTGCTTGCCTCTTTACTGCTGTGGTGGGGCGCCACCGTGGGTCCATGCTAGCACTGTGGTGGGTCGTCTTGGGCGCTGACGCTCGCGCCCGAGAAGAAGAAGTTGCGGCCGTGGCAGCCCGTGTGAAGCGTACCGTTCACGGTCTTTCCCTCGAGCCACAGCGGTGTGGAGAACGACAGACAGCCGCTGCGTCTGCAGCCCGTGCCAGTTCTTGGTGGTCCATGTGACCTCATCGAGGTGCTGTGCACACTTGGAGCACTTGGAGTTCCTCAGCTGTTCGAGTAACTTGTCACGCCCGCAACACGGCGAAAGCCACGTGGCGCGAGTGCCGCGGATGGTCGCGCACCACTGCCCGCGCAAGGCGCGCGCTGCGCTGGCCGAACGCCTCAACTCTGACGCCTGCCGCATCCACCTCCTCGACCTTCCCGTCGAAAAGCAAATTCGGCTGGCAGTCGCAAGCCGGCTGCCCTCCGGGATCCCCGAAGATCCCGTCGGCTGGGAAGATCACCAACTGGCGGTCGAGCTCCGTCTCGCGCGCGCCCTCGCCACCCACGCCTGGCGTGCACCGAACGCCTCGAACGCCGATGCCGTGCTCATCCTCACCAACCGCTCGAAGCTGTGTGCGCCGATGTTTCAAGCGAGCGGCCGAGGTGCCAAGGGCATGGCGTATGCGCTCGGCGCCTACTCCAAGGCATTGTGGGACGCCGCGCTCCGCGCCGCCGCGGCGCTGCCACGCGGCACGGCGCCGGTGTTGCAGGTGGTCTCGGAGCAGGACGGCGCGTGCTCGCGGCTACCGATGCCGCCCGACGTGGCGGCCGGCGACGACGAGGGCAGGCGGCCCACCCTCTACCTCGTCGAAGCGCTGATCAACGCGCGCGTCGTGGGCAAGCGCGCGCAGTTCTTCCACTCCCCGACGCCCTTTGCGCGGCGGCCGCTCCAGCTGCCTGCCGTCGGCGCGGCAGCCGAGTGGGGCGCGCGCGATCCCGCGACGCGGCTGCTCTTCGCGGGCCACGTGCCCAAGCTCTTCCAGTCGCTCACGCGCTACCTGCTCTGGAAGCAGCTGCGTAACGACTCGCGTGCCACCACGCAGTCACGCACGATCAACTGCACCGTCGGCGCCTACGTTGCCGCGTGCAGCCTGAGCGCGTCGCAGGTCGCGGCGAAGCCGGCCCGCTGGTTCGAGCACGACTTTTGCGCCGCCGTATTGCGCGGCGGACTGGGCCGAGCGCGCGAGCTCCTCCACCCCCTCGTGTGGCACCGGCCAGCGAGCCGACGCGACGGTCCCGCAGCTGGCGCGCGCGCTCAAGTCGCGCTGCGCGCGCTACCGGTCGCACGCAAGTCTCGACGAGCTGCCCGACATGGCGCGCGATTCGGCACGGCGCATGGACTACGCCACGTACGGGCACGCCGCGAGCCACCGCTTCTGCCTCGTGGTCCCAGGCGACTGGGCGGGAACGCCCAAAGTCTCTGAGATGGTGGCAGTCGGCGGCGCCGGCGGCTGCATCCCCGTGTTTGTCCTGCCGCACGACGGCTCGGAGGGCCAGGTGGCGCGGCTGCTTCCATACGGCCGGTGGCTTGACTACTGCGAGATCGGCTACGTCACGCCAGCGAAGGTCGCGCAGCGCAACATGAGCGCAATCATGGATGCGCTCGCCAGGGTGAGCGCAGCCGAGGCGGCGCGCAAGCATCGCGCGCTGCGCTGCGTACGCGACGCCTTCGTGTTCCGGGCGCGCGAGGAGCAGCACGGGCGCGGCCCCGGTGGCACGCGGGCTCCCGACGCGGCCGACTTCATCCTGGGGGAGGTGTGCCATCGCGCCCGGCTGCTTCAGCAGCCGCAGGTCTCGACTGCCTTGCTATCCAGTGTACAGATGCGCGGGGCCAGGCACACCGGGTGTATGCTTCCCTTTGCGTCCCAAGCATTACCTAGTCGTAAGGTAAGGTAAGGTAAACTTCTCCACACACACGAGGTGGTGGGGCAAGGGGGGGCAACCCTCGCGTCTCCACGTCTAACGACAGGAGCCCCACGGCATTCAAAGTGCAAGGCCCGGTGCGCGTGGGTGAGCGGTGTGTGTGTGTGTGTGTGTGTGTGTGTGTGTGTGTGTGTGTGTGTGTGTGTGTGTGTGTGTGTGTGTCGTACTGACTACCCAGATAATCTATTAAATAATATTAAAAACAATCCTAAACATCAAATTACGCCTTGGCCAAATAATTGTTTTGAAAGCTTTGGCCATGGTAACTTGGAGAGCACTTGGAGTGCAGTCGGCAACCTCACATCCAGGGCCGGGGAGCTGAGAAGCGCACCCAGCGGGCCGGATGATCGGTATCGGGTTGCGGGCAAGAGAGCCCTAGCCCCGGGGGTGCGCGTTCGCAGGGAAAGGGCCGTAAAGTAAACACAGGTCTCCGAGGGTTGGCTCCGTGTACCGGGTTTCCCCTTAACTGCAGAACGCCCCCTCTACTCGGAGCTAGTGGACACGGACATCACGACACCACCCGTCACGTACACACACGACTGTCTAACGTGTACGCTGCCCGGCTACGCGGCGGCTCCCCGGCGCGGGGGCCTCGTCCCCCACCCTTCAGGGTGAATCTTCAGTCAGTCTGGTTCGGTCTCTTGCTCGCTTTTCGGGCGTCGCCCCACTGCCTCTGTCGTTTTTGATGTCTCTTCTTCGGAGGCGGCCCCTCCGCCCCACCTCCGTCGGCAGGGTGGGGCCTCCCCGGGAGCGGCGGCATTGTCGCGGTCACTCTCTTCCGTAAAATTAGTTGGTCCGAACGAATTCCGCCGGAATTGATCGGACCAACCCATCGGCGGGCTGTGTAGTGCGCGCGGGCGGGGCGTCGGGCGGGGCGTGGGCGGGGCGTCGGGTTCTTGCCGGGTTTACATGCCGCCATGCTCCGCAGCCGACTCTAGACGACTGCTACCGGCGTCAGGCCTCCTCCTCCTCATGTCGTTTTCAGTGGCGGCGGCGAACGCACCTCCTCAACGACACTAACGCGCTCTTCTACACCCTCCAGACCAGCTCCGCCTGGCCGCTCAGCCTCCCCGTGTACGACCCGAGGTGGGGATGCGCGTGCGAGAGCGCCGAGGACCGCCCCGTCTGGCTCGCCGCCCTCGACCTGTGCTTCTGGTTTGACACCCTCAACGCGACGCAGCAGGGCGCGCTTTTCGGCGGCTCGGGGCAGCTGCAGGAGTCGTACAATCGCACCTGCTCCGCCTCCGCGCCGGGCGAGCAGGTCAACGAGTACTACCATCACGTCCGGCTGTGCGCCACGCCCGCCTTTGTGCGCTACAACTACTACCTCAGCAAGGAGTACTGCGTACCCGAGGCGGCGAACAACTTCACGCTCTACCCACGCCTCGCTCGCGACGGCGCCATGATGTGCGGCACCGACATCGGGCCTGTTGGGCCCACGCAAAGCAACGAGGAGGCGTACTGCCCCTGCAACATCTTCTTCGACTATGACGCGCTGGCCAACTCCTCCTCCACTGCGCTCGACACCGTCAGCACCTTCTACGCCGCCATAAGCCAGCCAAACAGCTCGTGGCCGGTGAAGCGGCCGGCAACGCGAGACGGCGAGTGCGCGTGCGACGACCCGGAGTTCCGGCCGGTGTGGCTCGCGCCGATTGACATGTGCGACTACTACGCTCGCCAGCCGCCCGAGGTGCAGGCGCTGCTCCTCCCGCCAGGTGATCCAGCAGCGCAGGCGGTCTACGAGAGGGCGTGCCAGGGGCTGTCGAGGGAGGAGCAGAACCGCGACTTCATGCACGTCAAGTTCTGCGCGGACCGCGCCTTCATCACCGACATCTTCTACGAGCATGATTACTGCCAGCGGCCCGACGAGTCGGGGCAGCTCATTCCGGTTACTGCTCCGGACGGGCTGCTCTTCTGCCAGGGCATCATACCCGCACCGGCGCCACCGCCACTCTCACCGCCTCCGATCGCACCGCCGCTGCCGCCAGCCTCACCAGTTCCGTCATCACCGCCACCTTATGCACCTGGAGCTGGGCCGAGACCCCCGCCTTTCCCGCCTGGCAAAGCTCCAACGCCACCGCCCTTCCCCCCGCCACATCCGCCTGACAAGGCTCCGACGCCGCCGCCCTTGCCGCCGCCGCACCCACCCGGCAGGGCGCCGATGCCGCCGCCGTCGCCGCCGCCGTTTCCGCCTGGGAAGGCACCGCCCTCGCCGCCATCGCCATCCTGCCGGAGAACCGGCTGCTCGGCCACGCCGGCTCGGCTGGGAGTCGGTGGTGCTACGACATGGCTACCGCGGATGAGGGCGCCGAGCTCTGCTCGAGCTACTACGTCGAGGTCGGTGAGGCGGACGTGGTTGGGGCGGAGGGCTACGTGCCGTGCTCTGCGGGCTGCGACCGCTGTCAGATCACCTACACGAACGGCATCCCGGGCTGCAGGAGCGCGCCGCCGGAATTCACCATCTGCCCGACGGCTGCGGCGCCAATGCCGCCGCCCTTTCCCCCGCCGCATCCGCCTGGCAGGGCGCCGACGCCGCCGCCGTCGCCGCCGCCGCACCCACCCGGCAGGGCGCCGACGCCGCCGCCGTCGCCGCCGCCGTTTCCGCCTGGGAAGGCACCGCCCTCGCCGCCATCGCCACCCCCGACAGTGGCGCCGACGGCTGCGCCGACGGCGGCGCCGACGGCGGCGCCAACCCCAGCCCCCACGTACCCGTGCACGACCGTGCTGCCGGCAGTGGACGACGAGAGCAACCCCGTGCCAGAGGGCCCTATCCTGCCGGAGAACCGGCTGCTCGGCCACGCCGGCTCGGCTGGGAGTCGGTGGTGCTACGAGATGGCTACCGCGGATGAGGGCGCCGAGCTCTGCTCGAGCTACTACGTCGAGGTCGGTGAGGCGGACGTGGTTGGGGCGGAGGGCTACGTGCCGTGCTCTGCGGGCTGCGACCGCTGTCAGATCACCTACACGAACGGCATCCCGGGCTGCAGGAGCGCGCCGCCGGAATTCACCATCTGCCCGACGGCTGCGGCGCCAATGCCACCGCCCTTTCCCCCGCCGCATCCGCCTGGCAGGGCTCCGACGCCGCCGCCGTCGCCGCCGCCGCACCCACCCGGCAGGGCGCCGACGCCGCCGCCGTCGCCGCCGCCGTTTCCGCCTGGGAAGGCACCGCCCTCGCCGACGCCGCATCCGCCTGGCAAGGCGCCGACGCCTCCGCCGTCGCCGCCGCCGCACCCACCCGGCAGGGCGCCGACGCCGCCGCCGTCGCCGCCGCCGTTTCCGCCTGGGAAGGCACCGCCCTCGCCGACGCCGCATCCGCCTGGCAGGGCGCCGACGCCGCCGCCGTCGCCGCCGCCGCACCCACCCGGCAGGGCGCCGACGCCGCCGCCGTCGCCGCCGCCGTTTCCGCCTGGGAGGGCACCGCCCTCGCCGACGCCGCATCCGCCTGGCAAGGCGCCGACGCCTCCGCCGTCGCCACCGCCGCACCCACCCGGCAGGGCGCCGACGCCGCCTCTGTCGCCGCCGCCGTTTCCGCCTGGGAAGGCACCGCCCTCGCCGACGCCGCTTCCGCCTGGCAAGGCGCCGACGCCGCCGCCGTCGCCGCCGCCGCACCCACCCGGCAGGGCGCCGACGCCGCCTTGAGAGGCGCAGAGAGGCTGCGAGTGCTCGACGAGTCTTGCGAGCTGCGCGGTCAAACCTGGGGGGAACCGACCGCATCAGGGTGGATTTCCGAAACCTCCGTGAACACCTTTGCCGGTTCTAACTAAAAATCTCTCTCACATTTGCCTCCAAGTCATGTCGTTGCTCAGGTCCACTCTCGTTTCGAGCACTTGAACCTCAACGGTCGGTGTTGGCACTGGGGTTCCCTTCGGGTATATCGTGACAGCTGATATGCGGGATTACCACTGGTGTTTCGTCCGCGGCAAAAATTCTTTTTGCGCGCTGGCCTTTCGTTGACAGCACCATTTGCGAGGTGCGAGAGAGGCAAAAAACCAACAGCCCTCTCTCGATGGTGTCATTTGCTCCGCTGCTTCCCGCGCTCCTCCCCCTCGCCTTCCAGCATCCCGGCGCCCTGCTGCAGCGCGGAGCGCCGTCGCGCTGCGCCTCTTCGCCTTCGCGTGTGCCGCAGCCCTCGCTTCAGCAGCCGCCGAACAGCGGAGATGCTCCGCTGCTGCCCTGGGTGCGGCCGGCGCTGGTGGGAGCGTCGGCGGCAGCGGTGGTGGCGGGCGGCGCGCTCATGCTTCCGGGCGTCGCGCACGCCTCGATCCTCGACTCTGCGTTTGTGCAGTCCACCTCGCTCATCTTCATCTCGGAGCTGGGGGACAAGACCTTCTTCATCGCGGCGCTGCTGGCGGCGCGCGCGTCCAAGCTGCTAACGTTCGCGGGCTGCGCCGGCGCGCTCGCGCTCATGACCGTGGTTTCCGTCCTCATCGGCCAGATTTTCCACCAGGTGGCCGGGAGAAGACAGCTCTCACGCACCATAGCCCTCCATGCCCAGCACGGGCTCGCCAAGACGGTGGCTGCATGCACCAGGTGCCGGCCGGCTTGACGCGCGGCCTGCCGCTCGACGACTACGTCGCGATCGCCTCCTTCGTCTTCTTTGGCATCAAGGCGATCCTGGACGCGGTGCGCGCCATCCGGCCCGGCGCAGAGGGAAGTGTCTAGGAAGTGTCAGGAGTGTCTAGGAAGTGTCTAGGAAGTGCCACCAGGCCCGGAGCAGAGGCGGGTCCACCACACGCCGCCGCTCAGCCGCCGATGGCACGCCCCCGCAGGCGCAGATCGAGGAGGACGGCGCGGGCATCGCCGAGGAGTCGGAGGAGGCGGAGGAGACCCTCGAGCAGTCGGGCCTCTATGGCAAGTCTGGCTGGCCGCTGGTCCTCGAGGCTTGCACGCTCACCATCGCGGCCGAGGTCGGTGACCGGTCTCAGATCGCGACCATCGCGCTGGCCGCGGCGCAGAACCCGTACCTCGTCGCCTTTGGCGCCATCGCGGGCCACTGCGCCGCCACCGGCATGGCCGTCCTCGGCGGCTCCTTCATCTCAAAGTATCTGTCCGAGCGGGTCATCGGCTTTGTCGGAGGGGGTCTCTTCCTCGTCTTCGCCCTCACCACGGCCGTCGGGCTATTCTGAGCGAGGCGTCTGGACACCTCTTCTGAGCTTCTGAGCAGCGCCTCGTCTGAGCTGCGCCTCGGAGTGCCGCGGGCGCGCGCCCCGTCTCTGTTGAGTTGGTGCTGCTGGGGCGGCTCCTCTGGCCACCGCAGCACCCTCTCTTTGACCCTGTCCGTCTTCTCTCTCTCCACTCTCGTCTCGAACTCTATAGTTCTAACGTCTATGATGACCAGTTACACATAATTATACGTGGCTGGGTTCACAGCGATTGTAGGAAAGTGTGGGGACCAAATCCCGGTCGCGGCCTTCCGACTCGCGCCTTCGCCTCACTGGCACTACTATTGTAGCCCTGGCCGGTGCGCGTGCGGAGTTGAAGTTCCGGAGTGAAAATTCGAACGCGTTCTCTCACGGTGACCAAAAAATGTCCACCTCAGAGGCACCTCCGGAGGCAGGCCGCCGCACGCCGGCGACACAGCTCCAGCTGTCGAACTGACCCGCAGCTCCTCTCAGAGCGCGAACTGTGACGAAAGTTGACTGAGGCGGTTGTCAGGAATCATCATACGGATCACATGGTGGCTCTCTCATGACGGGCCGCCCGACCACTCCTGGGTGGCACTGCCACCGGTGTCGCTCGACGTCCTGTCGACAGCGTGCCGACAGCGACACAACCATGTGGGACGCGTCGAGTATCGACCTCTACTGCTTACCCAGCCTTCGAGTGTATCCTGGCTGTGGTCCCACACCCACTGGTGTCCATCTCAGAGACCGCAGGAGGTCATGAGGGTCGATGGGAGTGCCAACCCCACAATGCCTAAAAACCCAGCCCAGTATCCGTGTCGCCTATCCGCTACTCGTATCGCCCGGGGGGGGGCGCGCGTGACGTGATTCGTCATAACAGACCCGGGCATGATTGATTTGCTTATCGGTCATATGTGTTACGGCTCTATGATTATCTGCAATCTGGTCAGGATTTGATTTTCGTTTGTCGTGCAGGGGCACACCGCACCACAAAAAACCGAAAACGAGACAGCGAGGATTTTTGTCCGAAATTTTGTGTCCCGAGAAGTTTTTTATATGTGAGTTCAAAGAAACCCGCAATCAAATCTCGCGAGAGAGAGGCGGGCGTTGCTTGGTCCTCGCACGCACGCAACCCCCCCCCCCCCCCCGGCCAAAGTATAGCTTTCTACGTCTAACAGCGTCTGCTACAATACGGGCGTCGCGGCCCCTGGTTGCGCGCCCTCCTCCCACCAGAGCGGCGGCGAGGTTGGCAAGCGCGCGGTCAGTATCTCTGCGCCCGACTCGTGCATCAGCAGCTGGTGCTCGAACTGCGCGCTCGGCTTGCCATCCTTGGTGACGGCGGTCCAGCCGTCGGCCCAGTGGACGTCCTTCCACGTCCCCGTGTTGATCATCGGCTCGATGGTGAAGCAATGGCCGACCTTCATCACGAACTTGGCCTTGTTGCCCGCGTAGTGCGGGATGTTTGGCGCGCAGTGAAAGTACTCGCCCACGCCGTGGCCGCAGTAGGTCTTGTCGACCTGTTTACGGCGGCACGCGTGAGGAGGCGCCGTTCACAGCTGTCGCCCGCCCATCTCGCGTGTGAACCGCAAATCCGCAGCCGTTGATGTGGCTGGTGATGATGCCGCCGACGTCGCGGTAGAAGAAACCCGGCTTGCAGGCGTCGATCGCCTGAGACACGCTCCTTCCCGAGTGAGCGGGCGGCGCGTCGCTGGTGAGAGTCTGCACGCGCGTGTCTCGCCTTCATGAGCGAGTCGTGCGACGCCTTGATCAGGTCCTTCTTCTTTTGCGTCACGCCCGGCCCAACGCAAAACGTCTCGTTCAGGTCCGCGTGGAAGCCTATCCACCAAAGCAGAGACGCCGCGGTCGGTGCACCGCAGCCGTTGTGCGCCGAGGCTGCGGGGGCCGCCGTCGAAGATCGGCGACACGTCGATGTTGACGATGTCGCCGTCCTCGAGTTGTCTCATGTCGGGGATGCCTGCTCGGGGCCGGCGGGCAGGGCAAGGAAGCTTGCGGTGAGGTGGGGCGGCGCTCGCTCCGCGCGGCTGCTGCGTGGAGTCTGCGACACCGTGGCACACCACCTCGTTGACCGAGGTGCAGACCGACTTTGGGAAGTTGTGGTAGTTGAGCGGCGCGGGGTAGGCGCCTAGCCCACGCGTGACGGGGTCTCATCCACCGACGGCTGAGATGGTTGAGCGGCGCGGGGGAGGGCGCCAAACTCCATGTGCTTGTCGTGCACGACGCGGTCGATCTCGTCCGTCGTCACTCCCGGCTTGATGACCCGGTGCGCCGCGTCCACGATCTCCCTCCCCATCCGGCACACAGCCCTCAGCTTCTCCGCCTGCGCCGCGCTCACCACCGGGGGAGTCGACCTCGCGGGGGCAGCCTGCTCGGCGCGCGGGTCGCCGTCGGCGGCGTAGTCCGGCAGCAGGATCCCCTCGGCGACCGGCCGCCGCGGCGACACGCGGTACGGCCGCAGCGACCCCGTGTAGCTGAAGCCCGGCCGGCGGCCGGCGCGGCTGGTGCCGTGGTCGAGGACGTACAGCCACGGGCCCGAGTCCTCGATGCTGGCCGGGTGGCCCCCGCCCACCTGGTGCCAGCAGGCTGGCCCGCGCTGGAGCTCGGCCACCACCACCGCCACGTACTCCCGCGCAGGGTCGTACGCCGCCAGCCGGCCGTCGAGGCCGTCGAGGCCGTCGGCGCCGTCGAGCGCCTGCTCGAGCTCCTCCTGCCGCACCCACTTGCTGCGCGAGAGCAGCGCCTTGAAGCGGTCGCCCACCGTGCTCGCTTTGCTGGCGCACGTGAGCTTGCTCACCGTCTGGACCAGCTTGAGCGGGCCACGGAAGACGAGCGCGCCGCGCTCTCCCTCGGGGTGGAGCGGGTCGACCGCCCTCTCCTTGAAGCGCGGAAAGGCCTCCATGATGCCCAGCAGCTCCTTGGCGGCGTCCTCGGCCGCGTCGAGGTCGGCCATCGCCGCAGGGAGGCTAGCGCGACGACGCGGCCGCCCACACGGGTCGAGGATACCTGGTACGAAAAAATAACACTTTTGCGGCCAGGGTGGGGCGCGCGCGGGGGGCGGCGGGTGTGCGGGATGTCTGTGGGCCCGAGAGCGATATGCCATGTCCGCCTTGCGTTTGTTTCATAACATCGAAGGCTAAGCTCAAAAAATAACGCATCGCGGGATTTTTTGGACGTTTCTTTCTTTCTTTTTCCAAGTGCTCCGCATAGTATGTGGGAGACTCCTGCCGCCGCCCCTGCCACCCCTGTCAGTGTGCCTGTGGCAGCGAGAGACTGCCACTGAGAAGCTGGAGGCAGGTAGGTCGCTAGACTGAGATGAGACCGCCAAGTGGAGTTGGGAGTCCACCGTGCACCGCGCTGCGAGCCTGTCGTGTCCCTTGTCAGGAGCAGGAGAGCCCCACCTGTGCCCCTGATCGTCCTTCCAAAATCCTGCTCGTGCAGGTGTGGACCCTGTCCTCCTCCCCCATCCCTCGTTTGGGCTTGTCTGTTTTCTTTCTTTCTTCCAAGTGCTCCAAGTGCTCCAAGGCACGCGATCCTTTGGTTTCTGTTTTCTTTCTGCAGAAGAGAGGAAAAGCGAAAATGCCAGCAGACATCTCCAGAGAGGGAGCGAGCGAGCGAGCGAGCGAGAGAGCTAGCGTGACTGAGCGACCGTGCGAGAGAACTTTACAACAAAACTCCCTCGCAGCGAGAGAAAATAGAGAGCGCGCGCGAGAGAGAGCGAGAGAGAGAGCGAGAGCAAGAGAGAGAGAGAGAGAGAGAGAGAGAGAGAGAGAGAGAGAGAGAGAGAGAGAGAGAGAGAGAGAGAGAGAGAGAGAGAGAGAGAGAGAGAGAGAGAGAGAGAGAGTTTTACAACAAAACTCCCTCGCACAACACTGGGCACGGGACTGGCGCGCACTGGCACTAACACAGGTACACCACGAGAGAGAGAGAGAGAGAGAGAGAGAGAGAGAGAGAGAGAGAGAGAGAGAGAGAGCGCGAGCGAGAGAGCGAGAGAGCGAGAGAGAGAGAGAGAGAGAGAGAGAGAGAGAGAGAGAGAGAGAGAGAGAGAGAGAGAGAGAGAGAGAGAGAGAGAGAGAGAGAGAGAGAGAGAGTGAGTGAGTGAGTGAGTGAGTGAGTGAGTGAGTGAGTGAGTGAGTGAGTGAGTGAGCGAGTGAGAGCGAGAGCGAGAGCGAGAGCGAGAGCGAGAGCGAGAGCGAGAGCGAGCGAGAGCGAGAGCGAGAGTGAGAGCGAGAGCGAGCGAGCGAGAGGAGCGAGAGCGAGAGCATTTCGTGCGTGTGCAGCACTGTGTGTGAAGAGTGATGACTTCTGACTGTCGTCGCTGTCTCTCCCTTCTCGACTGTCTGTGCTTGTGAGATTTTCGAAAACCAACAAGAAACTGAGAGACAAGCCGTGGGGCCGGTCCCGTAGCCTCTTGCGTGTGCGTCTTGCTTGGGCCCGGGGTTGTGTGTTTTGTGTTGTGTTTGCGTGAAGAGCTCTTTTCATTGTGAAGTCGGCCTCTAGCGCGCGAAAGGGTTTTTGCTCGCCTTCCCGGGGACCACGTGTTGTCTGACCCTCACTGTGCTGCCATGGACAGGGTTTCCGGGAGGAGCGATTTGTGAGAAGAGGGTGACTTCTGACTGTCGATGCTGTCCATCCACCGGACGCGAGGGTCGCTGGGTCGGTCGGTCGGCTCCTCACTAACTCGCTGCATATAGCAGCGATGAGCTCACTAGCTGCATGTGCATGTAGAGCTCACACTAGGAGAGAGATTGTTTGTTTTGTTTGTCACACTAGAGGCCGTCATCGCATTCGCCCTGGGACCCAGCGCTGACTTCTGACTGTCGTTGCGGTCTATCCCTTTCTCGACTGTCTGAGCCTGTGCGTCTTGGGTTTGTGTTTTTGTGTGAAGAGCGTCGATTTCGGGCCCGGGGTTGTCGTTTATGTGAAGAGCGTCGCATCGGGAGGAACCGAAGATCGACCGGGGGGCGGCCAGTTTCAGAAGGAGGCGCATCGCAGCTGCTTCATGGGCGTGAGCGCCTCAACAGGCCTGCTGTCGACGGCCCAGGTGTCCACCACCGACGAAGAGTGGGACGTCTACTTTCAGAAGCTCGAGAAGAACCTAAAGCGCGCCCGTCCCAAACGCAACACCTCCGAGGCCACAGCCGGCGGCCTCTGCCTAAGCCCTCGAGCCGGCATCCCTCGTAGGTCCAAGGAGAAGATAAACATCCAGTCAAAGCTGAGCGCCAACACCGCCCTCTCCTACGCCGCCATTAACGGAGCCTCGGCCGCCGTGATCGACCGTCTCGTCGCCGCCGGGTCTGCGTTGGAGATGACCGACGTCGACGGCTACACGCCCCTGCTGCAAGCGGTCGCGTCGCACCCAGTCAAGTGCCGCGAGGCGGCCGAGCGGCTCCTGCACCACGGCGCCAGCCCGCGCGCAGCCACCGCCAACGGCTGGACGGCGCTGCACTGGGCGGCGTACAAGAACTCGCCCGCCTCGCTCATCGATGCGCTGGTGGCGGCGGGCGCGAGTGCGCCTCTGCCACCGGGCGGGGGAGGTGGCGCGTGGCCGTCGGCGCGACCGCCCCCCCCGTCCGCCACCCCGTAGGCGTCGAGGCCAAGAAGAGGGACGGCGGCGAGACCCCCTTCCTCGTCGCGGCCCGCGCGTCGCACCTCGCGTGCGCTGAGCGGCTGGTCCACAAGCACAAGGCGGACCCTCGCGCAGTCAACGTGCGTGGTGAGGCGGTGCTGCACGTCGCGGCGCAGCACGGCGCCCTCATCGAGGTGATCGACCGGCTGGTCGACATGGAGTGCGACATCGAGGCCAAGAAGGAGGACGGCGCGACGCCGCTCCTCGTCGCCGCGCGGAACGGACACGTCCACGTGGTGGAGCGACTGCTCCGGCACGGCGCCGACGCGAGCGCGGCGATGAAGAGCGGCTGGACGGTGCTGCACTGCGCCGCGCATCACGGGGCGCCGCGAGAGACCGTCGAGAAGCTCGTCGCGGCGGGGGCAGAGGTCGACGCCGTCGACCGGCGTGTGCCCGCGCCACCACTCTCCCCCGCGCACGAGGCTGGCCGGGCGCAATCTCGGCTGATCTCGGCTGATCTCCGGTGTGGCAGGCGCGGGAGGACGGCCCTGCACGAGGCGGCGTCGGCGGGGGAGGCCGAGGTTGCGGAGGCGCGTTGCGCGTGCCTCCCACACACCCGCGCGCACTAGGCGTCTAGGCCTTGCAGCCACGAGGACCGAGATCCTGCGGCGGGCGCGGGCTTGGGGGGGAGGGGGGAGGGGGAGGGGGGGGGGGGGGGGGGGGTTCGGGTGTGGATCGCTGCGGGCGCCGTGCGCCTGGTCGCTCGGGGTGTGGAGATGCGACGCCCCCCTCCCCACTGTTGCTGCCCCCAAAGCAGTGGCCGCAGCAGAGGACGCTGCTTCCCCCCTCCCACCCTCTCTCTCCCCACCCGCCCACCCTGCACCCTCTCGCACACACAGGTGCTCGTCGAGCTCGGCGCGGACCCGACTCGAAAGAGCAAGGCGGCCCTCAGACCGCACACGCCGAGCAGCGGGCGACACTCTCGGTGTGTCTTCATCGCTGGCCATCTGCGGCGCGATATAGGCGGGCCAGACGCCGAGTGAGCGGGCGCGCTCGAACAGCTGGGTTGCGACCAGCGCGGACCGCGCGCAAAAGTCGCCCGGCGCGCTCAAGCGGATGGGGCTCGTGGCTCATCTCTTCACCATGACGCTCTGCCGCGTGTGTCGCGCTTCACAGCTCTTTACCTTCTGCTCTCAGGCTCGCGCAGTGGCTCGACGACCGGTACACAGAGCACTCGGAGCGCAGCAGCGCGCGCAAATCGGCGAAGGAACTCCGGGCATCGCAGGCGGCGGCCGAGGCTTCGATTGCCAACCTCACGGTGCGGCGCTCCGCGCAATAGACGACGAGCCGCACAAAACGCTCTAGCCCCCCCCCCCCCCTTACCGGCGGCGAGAGGTGCGCGCACACCGCGGCCCACGGTGCGCACTTTTGCGGCCGCTGCGCCTTCTGGCGCCCCACGCCCCCACACGCGTCACGCCGGGGGGGAAACAGCGGTTTTGGTTTTCTCTACAACGTATACTGTGCTGTACGCGAAAGTGTGAACAGGTCGGAGCAGCTTCAGTGCAGCACTACACCACCACCTAGTGGCACGCCACGCATATGTCGGTCCCGCCGCGAGGTCTCGACAGCGTGCCGACAGCGACACAGACCATGTGGCAGTGGGACGCGTCGAGTATCGACCTCTACTGCTTACCCAGCCTTCGAGTGTATCCTGACTCTGTGGTCCCACACCCACTGGTGTGTCCATCTCAGAGACCGCAGGAGGTCATGAGGGTCGATGGGGTTGAGTTGCAGCGCAGCTCCGCCTCACGCCTCACCTGACCACGGCGCCGCCGGCGCCTGTTGATACATTGATAGGTCCAGGTGATAGCTCTCTTCCTGGATGAGCAAGCAATGCATACGCCTGGTCGGACCTCAGAATGATCGACCGACCGCGTCCCGGTGCTCTCTCTGCGGTCGGAGTTGAGAAATTTGAAAAAAGACATTTTGTTCACGTTTTGTCGGAGTTTGACGCTGCCGCCGCGACTCCCGCCGCGAGGTCTCGCGGCCCGGGTGTGTGTATGGGGCACCTCCTCGCCCTCTGGGCGCTCGCCACGGACCAGCCCGCGACCTTTGGGCGGCTCGCCAGCGCGTACGGCGTCTACTCGGCCGTCGTGCTCGCAGAGCCGCCAGGTGGAGGCGAGCGCGGCCTCTTCTGCACACGTGCTGTGGCGGCGGGCGAACCGCTGCTGGCGGTCCCGTGGCAGCTGTGCCTGGTCGACGAGGACGAGCCCGGCGACGATTCGCTGGAGAGCGTGTGGGAGCAGCAGTCCGACGCGGCTGCGCGTCCGGCGCGGGATGTGCGTCTCGCCGCTCAATTGCTGGCGCAGCTCGCCGGCGACGGCGGCGACGGCGGCGGAGACGCCGCGGAGCTGTCGCGCTTCTGGCGCGAGTGGAGCGCGATGCTCCCGCCGGCCGCTGCCTGCGCTCACCCGATGACTCTTCCCGACGCGCTGCTCGAGGAGCTGCAGCACGCGCCTCTCGCGGAGGCGGGCCGCCGGCAGCGCCGCCGTCTGCTGCGGCTGCTCGCCTCTGCGCCCGCCTCGAGCGACGGCCAGCGCGCCTGGGCGACGGCCATGTGTTCGAGCCGCCCGTTCCGGCTTCCGGCGCGGGCCGAGGGGCGAGGCGGCCGGACAGCCTTTGTGCCCTTTCTTGACATGGCCAACCACGCCGCTTCGCCGAACTGCGAGGTGCAGGGCGCGGGCGGCGCGCCGGGCGCCTTCGAGGCGGTGGCGCTGGTGGCGACGCGCAGCCTCGACGCGGGCGAGGAGGCGAGATATCGCCTGGAGCGGCGGCGCCGCCACGCCCGGAGGCGGAGCCTCCCCCTGAGCCGTCTCGGAGCTGCTCCTGCAGGCACTCATCTCGTA